AGCCGGAGACACGGTGAGCGCCCGGCAGACCCGGCCCTGGGCCCGGAGACCCCGCGAGGGCGGACCTCGGCTCTGCCCGCGCCTCCTCTCGCAGCGCGCGTGCGCACGCACACACGCCCACACACACAGGCACACACAGGCCCACACACACCCCACACACAGGCGCACACACCCACACAGGCACGCGCACGTGCGCACACGCCCTCACACACCCCACACCCCCACATGCCCAGACACCCACAAACAGGTGCCCACACGCACCCCACACACCCGCAAAAAGGCACACACACCCACACATGCCCACACACAGGCACACACACGCCCACACACACACGTGCTCCTCACCACACGCGCGCACACAGCCACATACACGCCCGCACGCATGCCCGCGCTGCTCTCCGCCCGCCCACACACACGCACCACACACCCCCACAACGCCCCCACACGCCTGCGCACTCCTCTCCACTCACACGCCCACACACACCCACACACGCACCCACACACGCACCCACACACATGCCCACACACAGGCACACACACACCCACACACGCGCCCACACACGCACCCACACACATGCCCACACGTGCTTCTCTCCACACACACCCGTGCACTCTTCCGCTCCACACACACCCCCATACACACGCCCACACACGCACTCCTCCTCTTCAGCCACCTCGACCCTGTGCAGGATTCCCAGTAAACACCTGCCTTTAGCTCACCTTCTGGTCTTCAGGTTAGCACCCCAGATACACACACACGCACTCGCGCGCGCACACACACGCAGGTTAGCGTTCCAGATAAGTTCCCTTACACACATGAACACACACAATTTACAGGTTAGCATTCCAGATAAATGCGCACACATACGCGCGCGCACACAGGTTAGCATTCCAGGTAAATGCCCTTAAACACACACAATTACTGTGATTATTTCCCCACATGCACACAGACACACACACACACAATTGGCATGATTATTTCCCCAATTTAATCTGAGGAATGACCTATAGCTTCAAAAATCATTTATTTCTATTAAGCTAGTAGGGAATCATACTTCAAACGGGATTCTACTCCAGAGTGGATATTTTGCTTAATCACAGAAATCAGTCCCGGTTTGTTTTTTAACTCACTGAATTGTATCTTATTGTTTTGCGTGAGACGAGCTGAATTCAGCGTTCCAGAAAACGATTAGTCTTTGGCATAGAGCCGTTAGTATTTCAGCGGGTACACCGCGCAGCCAAAGCAAAGCCAGTGACCCTTTGTTGCCCTTTCCTCCTCTCAAATCTTAAAATGGGTACAAATGGGCAAAATTACCTAGAAGGGGAAATTGCAAGAGTCTTACATCATTTCCCTAGAAGGGGAAGTTTCTGCCTTCCTTGTACGTAGGAGCACCTAGGGGAAGGCAAGCCGCTTGCCGAGAAGAGTCGAGAACCAGGACTCTCCTCCCTCTGGAGCCCAGGCAGGCGCCGGGAGGAGCCCATGGCTGCAGAGACATTAACGCTGGACTGTCCTTCCCAGTAACGGACCCTGCGCTTTGAATATTTGGCCGGTAGTTATTTCTGTCAGCTGAAACATTGACCAGAGATCTTCGGTGTGGTTTATGCGTCCCATGAATAAGGAGAGCAGGACTGATGGATAGTAAGAACCTGCTGCAGTACCATTTTAGAGCCAGCAGAGCAGTCATCTGGAGTCAGAAGTAGGTCAAGAAAGGAAGCTAGCTGACAGATGAAGTATTATTGGGAATTTGTTGATAAGGAAAAATTCTTTTTTTGTTGTTTTTGTGCTGAGGCCCACGCAGCAATGCTCATAGTTTACTCCTGGTTCTGTGCTCAGGGATCACTCCTGAGGGGACTGGGTTTTCAGGGCATATGTGGTTTGGGGATGCTCGACTCCAATCCATCTTTTTTATGACATCTTATTATCTCATTCCTACTTTGGACAAACTTGCAGGCTATCGAATGTAGCCTGCCCACAGGGCAGAGTCTGGCAAACTCCCCGTGGCGTACCCAATATGCCAAATACCAGTAACGATGATGGGTCTCATTCTCCTAAAGAGCCGTGAATATAATCTCAGGGCTAGGATGAAAGAGACGTTACTGGGGCCTGCTCGAGGCAATCGGCGAGTAACAGGATGATGAAATGAAAAATGAAATGTGGTTTGGGGATCAGACCAAGTAGGCCACAGGCAGGGTAAGCACCTACCGGCTATACTGTCGTTCAGACCCAGATTAGCAAAAAAACTGAAACCGTAATTTATCTTTATTGTTAAAAACTATTTTCTAGTGACTTACTATGGAAACAGGATACATACAATCATACAATTATATGTATTTTACTTAAATACTTGTATATGTAGTAGCTATTTTTCTTAGTTTTCTAATATATAGACATATTAGAAAATAATACAAAATATATAGTATTTGCTACTTTTTCTAACCTTTGACCATTTTCTAATACGTGAAACTTTTTTTTACAATATAAAATTATGGTACTGCTCTTTCATGGACATAAGTAGTGTCTGCTTTGACAGCGTCATTAAGTAGCACACTTAAAAATAGGAATTTGAAGGATCAGAGAGATATAATAGTGAATAAGGTGCTTGCCTTGCACACAGCCCACGAGGGTTCTGTCCCCAGAATCCCATATGGTTCCCCAGAACCCTGCCAGGAGTGATTTCTGGAGAGCCCAGAGTAAGCCCTGAACTGCTGAGTGTGCCCCTCTGCTGAAAAGAGGCAGAAAATAGAAATTTGTTATTTTTATTACTCATTTTTAAGATGCAAAATTATCTCGCCCCTTTGGGAAAAAAATTTTAATTTCTTATGTAAACGAGCATAGCTGAGAAATTTGAACAGAAAGTAACCTGAATTGTGTTTGCAAGAGTAATGGGGATTTTTTTCACCTTTTTCCCACCCTAGTTTGAAATTCAACCTAATGTAACATTTTATTTGCTTTAATTGCATTTTAGCAGTATGAAAAAGTGAAAAATCCCTTCACCTCCTTAGTTTCTGCTGAAGATGCGTGCTTCCCACCCTTAGTTGCCCACCTGCTACCCTGACTTCTTAGATTCTCCCGTGGCTTTCACTGGAGGCCTGGCCTATTTGCTCATGCTGAGGGGACCCTTTGCCCACTGGAGGGGGCCGTGGAATAGTGGCCATGCCTCATGGTTCTACTTAGCTCCAGACTAAGGGGACTCCAGATCAAGTCAGAGCACACTGGCCTCCCCATCCCACCAACTGTCCTTCAGTCTTTGGTGACCACAGTTCTGGACCCACTTGTCTACCTGGTTTATTTCCTTCATACCTCATTCCTCCTCCTGGGCACTACAAACTCGTTTTTTGTACCCCAACCTCATCGTGTAGCAATTGGCCTTTCTACAACTAGGAGCACAGCTGTTTGGGCCTTCTGTCCTGTGCTTCCTGTGATAGAGCTGTCCTGCATCAGCGTTTCACTGCTTCCTCCTTCCCCTGACAGTGGTGTCCGCCAGTGATCCACTGCTTCCTTCCCCTCCTGAAAGAACTGCCCCAGGCCAGTGATTCCTTTTTCCGATAGTGCTGTCCCGGACCAGTCACCTCTTCCTCCTAATAGCATGGCTCAGCATCCCATGTGGTTCCCTGAGTACCACCAAGAGTGATCCCTGACACAGAGCCAGCGTAAGCCCTGAGCAATCCCACAGAAATTGCTTATCGAAGTGAGAATAATTCTTTACACTGAGTGAATGAACAATTAAAAAAAGGTAAAGGTAAAGGCCCTCCCGTTGTTCATTGATTTGCTCGAGTGGGCCCAGTAACGTCTCCGTTTGAGATTTTGTTGTTACTGTGTTTGGCATATTGAATACATCACGGGTGGCTTGCCAGGCTCTGCCTTGCGGGCGAGATACTCTCGGTAGCTTGCCGGGCTCTCCGAGAGGGGCGGAGGAATCGAACTCGGGTTGGCCATGTTGGCTGCATGCAAGGCAAATGCCCTACCGCTGTGCTATCGCTCCAAGAATGAGCAATAAAGTTTGTTTGGTTTTTTTTTTTTTTGGCAGCAGAGACAGGTTTTACCTTCTAGCACAGGGAGCTGGCAAACATTTTAGGGAGAGGGTTAAATGATGAGAACTTTTAGGCTCCTTTATCCACCCTTCTCTGCCACTGTGGTTTGAAAGCCTCCAACCATAAGAACAGGAACGAGTGTGACTGTGTTTCAGTGAAACTTTATGAAATAAACGGTCACAATGTTGGGCCAGAGCAGTGGTACAGAGGGCAGGGCGTTTGCCTTGCTCCAGGCCAACTCTGTGATCCCCACATCCCAGATGGTCCCCTGAGCATGGTCAGGAGTGATTCTTGAGTGCAGACCCAGGAGTCACCCCTGAGAATCGCAGGGTGTGACCCAAAAAGAAAAAAGAAGTCGCAGTGTTCACATACTACAGGATATTCTTCTTTTGATGTATCTTCAACCAGTTTAAAATGTAAAAGCCATCCGTGGCTCCAGAGTCATCCTAAGTAAGATAGGTGGTCTGTAGGTTTAACCTGTGATCATGCTTTGCCAATCTCTGTTTATCAGTGTGTCTCTCTAGGCTTTCCTCTGACTAGAAATATGTTGTGTGTTGCTTCCTTGTCCTACCCACACGCAACCCAAAAAAAAAAAAAAACGGTTTGTGTATTCTGGAATATTCACATCCTTGCCTTTAAAAGTGTCCTGCATTGTTCAAAGATAATGCAGATTCCACTGAGGTCCTCCAGTGGGGGGTGTAAACAGTTGTTACATTTGTTTACATTCGCTGTTACTGTTGCCTTTTTTTTTCTCACGCAAATAACCGCAGCGGACTGGGACGTATCCGGCTAGCGAGTCTGAACGCACCAGCTGCGATCTGCAGAGGAGCAGGGACGGGCGGGGCGGGCAGGGTCCGCGGCGGGGCGGGCGGCGGGGCGGCGGGGCCCGCGGGAGGCCCTGCCCACCGGCCACTCCCCGCGCGCGGGCCCCGAGCCCCGCGCCCGGCCGAGCATGCTCAGAGGCGCCGCGGCCCCGCGCGCTCACCGGCTCTCGCTCGCCCGCAGGTGCCATGCGCGCCCGGGGCGGCCCCGGGGCGCCGTGAGCGCGGGATGCGGCGCCTGCTGGGCGCCGGCCGGGCCCGGAGGGTCGCCTGCCTGCTGGCCGCCGCCTACGCGCTGCGGACCCTGCAGCCCGCGCTGCGCCGGCGCCTGCAGCCCGGCCGGGCCGCCGGGGGCGCGGGGAGCCCGGGGGGCGCGCGGCAGCCCGTGCCGGGCCCGGACGCGAGCTTCCTGCGGCAGCTGCTGCAACTTCGGAGGATCCTCTTCCCGCGCCTGCTGACCACGGAGACGGGCTGGCTGTGCCTGCACTCGCTGGCCCTGGTCTCCAGGACCTTCCTGTCCATCTACGTGGCCAGCCTGGACGGCAAGATCGTGAAGAGCATCGTGGAGAAGCGGCCCCGCGCCTTCGTCCTCAAGCTGGTCAAGTGGCTGCTGATCGCCATCCCCGCCACCTTCGTCAACAGCGCCATCCGCTACCTGGAGTGCAAGCTGGCCCTGGCCTTCCGGACCCGCCTGGTGGCCCACGCCTACCAGACCTACTTCGCCGACCAGACCTACTACAAGGTGATGAACATGGACACGCGGCTGGCCAACCCCGACCAGTCCCTCACCGAGGACATCCTCATGTTCTCGCAGTCGGTGGCCCACCTCTACTCCAACCTGACCAAGCCCATCCTGGACGTCATCCTGACCTCCTACACACTCATCCGGACAGCCACGTCCCGGGGGGCCAGCCCCGTCGGGCCCACGCTGCTCGCCGGCCTGGTGGTCTACGCCACGGCCAAGGTGCTCCGGGCCTGCTCTCCGCGGTTCGGGACGTTGGTGGCCGAGGAGGCGCACCGCAAAGGCTACCTGCGCTACGTGCACTCGCGGATCATCGCCAACGTAGAGGAGATTGCCTTCTACCGCGGACACAAGGTAAGGGGCCCCCCGCCCCAGCTCAGGCCTCCTGCTCCCTGGGGGACAGGAGTACAGACCTCGGTGGGGTCTTGGGGGCCCTCTCAGAACCAGCCGCCTCAACATCAGTTACCCAGATTTGTGCAGGTTATCTCCAGGCATTTTCTTAAAAAGTGCTTCCGAATTTATAGTTGACCCTAGAGCAATAGAAGAAAACACGTTTGGAAACCGAGGGAGCACATTTCCACCCAGAAGCACGTCCTCGGTGGGATTTTCTCCTGTGTAGGGATTTTCTCTTTCCCTAGAAACGAGGCACCCGGGCTCCCACGTGGCGGACAATCTTGACAGCTTTGCAGCTCTGGTCACTGACGGTGCACTCTCTGCCCCGAGAAGTCCAGGCACTTCTAGATAACATTCAGCACAGCTGACCCAAACAGGCAATGCACAGAATGCCCTCTCTGAGGGAAAAAATAAGATTAGAAAAGAAAGGAGTGAAGAAGTTTTCTTAAGTGTTCTTTTTGGGGGGCCCAGCAGGGCCACACCCATTGGTGCTTAGAGGTCACTCCTGGCTAAAATGTTATTTTTAACTATTAATATTTTTAACACTTAAACAGTCTCCTAAAATAGTTAACCTAATTATAGACACCTGCAGTGCATAAAAGTCATATCAGGCTATGAGATAGATGGAAATTTGAAAGTGACGCATCTGAAGTCTTCATAAATATGACTAGGCAAATGAAATATTAATGTGTTCTAATGCTGGAGATGGTGTTTTAATTACCAGGCAGTTTTATTTAATTGTTAAAGCATCGGTAATTATTAAAAATTTATAATAGTGCCAATCTTCAGAAGAAAATTTAGAGTCTATTTAGGACTTTAGGAGTCTATTAGGACTTCTGATTGGCCTCATATTTTGTTTTAATCACATTGATTTGTCGTCCTTCTTGAATCCTTGACTCGGGTAGAAACCTGTAGTAGGCTGTATGTTGGCTTCTTACTCCATGGCAAAATCTAGTCCATTAAGTAGAGTCTAATGGCATCTAAAAAGGTCATGTGTTTATGCTGAGATGTCTTACAAAATACAGTTAATTTTAACATACTAAAGACAGAATTTTGAGGTCATAATTAAATATCACCAATATGTATTTTATATTTCACATCATACTCATTGAGTAGCTTTCATTTAATAATACGGGTATGAGAAAAACTAATGACTCAGCCTGATATTAATTCATGTTCATTTGTCCTGTATTAAGTGCAAATATATATGTGTGTATCTATATATACATACTGTAAGAGAAAGCCCTTATATAAACACATTATTTTTTGGTTCTTGCTAGATTTGATCCCTTTTTCCTCCTCCCTAGGTGGAAATGAAGCAACTCCAAAAAAGTTACAAAGCTTTAGCAGATCAGATGAACCTCATTTTGTACAAGCGTTTGTGGTACATCATGATAGAGCAGTTCTTGATGAAGTACGTCTGGAGCAGCAGTGGCCTGATCATGGTGGCTGTGCCCATTATCACCGCGACTGGCTTTGCAGATGGGGGTAATGACGTTTATGCTCAAGTTTAAATGTTTAAGATTATGCCTCTTGAAGGTATCATTGCATGTTATTCGTGAGTGGAGCTGTCCAGTTATTCTTGTGTAGTAGCTAGAGGTCAGAAGCAATGGCAGACTTGAATTATGCAATGAGAACAGCGATACAAAAGAAGGTGTCATGGAGGTCCAAAGACCTTTCCAGTAAGGTAGTCCAGAGATCTCTGATGCAAGTGTTTCTGGGAGCATACATTGAACAACTTCAATTATATCAACTAATATCAAGTGATTCTGTGATTTAAACCGAACACACATTAACCTTCAAAAAGAGACTCTATGGGCCAGAGCAGTAATATTACTGGTGGGGCGCTTGCCTTGTAACCCAGCTTGACCTAGGTTTGTTCCCTAGCGTCCATATGGTCTCTCAAGCACCACCTGTAGTTATTCCTGAGTGCAGAGCCAGGAGTAACCCATGAACATCACCAGGTGTGGCCACAGAGCCAGAGAGAGAGCTTAAAGAGCTTCTGGCCCTGATTTGGTCCCTGGTGTCAGTCTCAGCCATACCAGGTACGTCCCTGAAGGCCCCTGAGCAGCACTGGGTGTGGCCCTGGGGGCCCCTGAGCATCATCGGGGTGGCTTGGATAACCCTCAGCACTGCACGCGCAGGTCCTCACGTGGAACCCCTACCCCGGTTGTCCACAAATCACTGGAAGGTGCCTCAGGCCCTCTGAGTGCCCCTGGGAAGGCCCCCCGACACCAAGAGTGTGATACTGGCTCTCCCCTCATGCTGTGAGCTGCAGGGATGCATCCTCTATCAGTGCTCTCCCAGACCTGCCTAGGTTTGTACTCAGTACTACAGAACAACTAGGAACATGGTCTCCCCGATGTAGGGGTGCAGTTGACCTCCTGGGAGGAACAGTGGGCTCAGAGGTAGAGATAGGGTGGTCAGCTTGCAGCTGTCTAGTTGTATTGTATCACTGTCTCAATGCCTTTTGCCACCACTTTTCATCTACTGGAATAAACAGATACAGGTGAGGGGAATATTGTTAAAATGTTGTGTAAAACTTGAGTTGGGAATTTGGGTCTTCATTGGCAGGGATGGAGGAGTTCAGTGAAGACCAGTATGTCCTGCCCTCCTTCCAAACTGAAACACCCACCCCAAAGCCAGCCGTGCTCTTTAAAATGTGCTGACCAGAGCTGCTTTGGTGTTGAGGAGCTAAGTGAATGCACAGACTGTGGAAGTTAAACGGTTCTCTGCAGTTCTCACTTCACATTAGATCAACCTCTGCGTCCCAGTCTGTAACCTGAGCAGGGCTGTGGCAGAGATTTACTAGAGGGATTATGACGCACAGAGGTATAGGCTAGGTGTTGCCGATGTGTGCTAGCAGTCACCACCTGTAAAACAGGGCAGAAAAATGCACCGAATTCCACAGGATCTCACTTGTTGAGTATAGAAGTAGCATTAAGGTTACTTGTTTGAGGTTACCTAATAAAAATAGGTGGCAGATATCATTTATAGTAATATTTTGAAAGTTTTAATGCTTTACCAAATCCTGACGAACACCTGTCAAATTCGAGTAATTCTTAACCTAAAGTTCCTCATTTTAGAAAATTAAGATTGGTCAACGCCTTGTAGTAAGTTCTTTACCAAATGTTCCCCACAACTGTTTTTGTAGTGTAATTAGGCCACTAGAAAAAATTTTTTTTTGGTGTTTGTGGTGAGGGGTGACCCCCAGCAATTCCTGACTCTGCACTGATTATTTCTGGTGCTACTTCGGGGTACCATATATGGGGTGGGGGGAGATTGAACCTGGGTCAGTGGTGTTCAAGGCAAGCCCCACTGTCGTATCACTCTGGCCCCAGAATTTTATCTTTTATATTTATATTTTGGAGCTGGAGCAATAGCATAGCGGGTAGGGCGCCTTGCACGCAGCCGACCCAGGTTCTGTTCCTCCATCCCTCACGGCAGAGCCTGGCAAGCTCCCCGTGGCATATTCAATATGCCAAAAACAGTAACAACAAGTCTCACGATGGGGAAGCTACTGGTGCCCACTCGAGCAAATCGATGAACAACGGGAGGACAGTGCTACAGTGCACAGACTGTGCAGTGCTGTATTTACATTTTAAAGCATTGTTTTAAAAAGTTTACATTGTGAGTCTGGGGAGATGACTCACAGGGGTGGAGTACATGTTTTACAAAGGGAGGGCCTGGGTTTGAACTCCAGAACCACAGGGTCCCCAGAGCACTGCTGGGATCCAGCCCCAAGCAACACCGTAGCCACCATGAGCACAGAAGGCTGTTTTAGATGAGCGGAGCAAAGTCTGCATTGAAAAAAATATATTAGTAGTAGTTTTAGACTCAGTCCTTCTGTGATGAGACAAAATAAGCTGCTTCTCAAAAGGATATTTGGGGAGGGGGAGGTGTACACAAACCTCTGAACTTAAGATTCATTTTACTGAAAAAAATGACAAGATTACCAGGCATTCATGATACAGTTAAGTATTCATGATCAAGTATATGAATCCTTAAAAAAGATATTACAGAGAGTACTAGATACAACCCCAATGACCAGATTATGGCATTCTTATGTTCCTGCTTGAAAGCTCTGATCTTATTACAAAACCCTGGAGTACTCAGCACGGAGCAGAGAAAACGTAGCTATTATTGGTGGCAGATTAACCCCAGAGGGACCAGAAAGAAGTAAACAATGAATGCGAAGACTCTAACAAGCTTCTGCTGTAGCTGATGTAATAAGACACTTAAAAATAACCTTTTTAAATCCTAAGAAGACCGTATTAAATTAAGGAAACCACATTAAAATTTTAGATTGAATGCTTAATAATAATTATGTTGGTACAAATGAATCAAAGTATTTTTTAAAAGAATATTTGTGTATGGAAAAGCAAAGTAGGAATTTCACAGAAGAAAAAAATGAATTTATGTGACATTCTCACTACAAGTCAGTTTCTACATCTGTGATTTCTAAGGTTGCTACCTGTGTTTACAGTGTTTATGTGTACCTACTCATATTTTACCTGTCATGACTTTACACATGAAAATATTATTTTGCTCAAGCAAGATAATTTAGGTTTTGTAGATAATGTTAGATTAAGGCTAAGCCTTAGGCCTCGAGCCTGCATTTTGTTTAGTCTAGACTCTGATCTTAACTTACACTCGTGCCTGAGTTGTCCCTTGTGTTAGACGTGAATGGAATGCGTGATGCTGTATATTTTAAAGCAAGATAGATGGGGAAGTGGAGAGGGGAGAATGACACTTAGAAGCGGTGGGGGAAGGAGAGAAACAGGTCCTGTCTCGCCAGCATGCCCTGCACCTGGCTGCTCTCTCGGATGCTTGCACCTGCCCAGCTCCCTGTGACGCCGTCAGAGTAGTCCTGCATCCCTCTCCGACAGCTCCTTGATAGTGCAGTGCCGTACGGAAAGGCAGCCCTTCACACTGAGGTAGCGCAAAGATAAACAAATACCAGAGCGGGCCTGTGGCCGTCTGTCAGCGCTAATTTCCTCATTTATTTCCATCATGTTTTAGAACTTTGGAGACAACCTACATTAGGACAGATCATCACATTTGTGGAAACGGTAATGGAGAAAGGATTGTTTTTTGAAAAAACAGACTGTTTGTTGTAGCAACTGAAGAAAATAACCAGAACTGACACTGGGAGCACGTCTGCAGGGAGGACTGGGCAAGCTTGATCGGTCTTGTCCCCACAGTGCTTATGACTCTGTAATGCTACTTCTGAGGTCAGCACATTGTTCCTTCACTTGCACAGACTGTGGTCAGTAGATAGGAGGTAGCTTGTCTGGCTAACCCTTCTACTGGCCAATAAATAGCCAGGCCAGGATGCAAGCCTTGTCTCATCCACACTCTTACCCTCGTTCTGCACCCAGTTACTGGGAATGTTGTTGGCCGTCCTTCCTCTGTGTCCCCCTGCACCACTCAGTATGCACGCCTGTGGAAGACACGAAATAAAGAACAAAGCTTCCTCAGTCTTGTTCTTAGGGAACTTGAGTCCCTGGGACAAACAGGAGTTTCCAGGGAAGCCTGTTTGAAGGAGTGAGTGACTGAGGAAGGAAGAGTTTGGCACAAAGGGAATGAAATCACTGAAGTCAGCAGAAGGCAAGTGTACAGACACGTGGCTAAGTGGCACTGTGTGTCTGGGCAAGGGACAAGCACAAGCAGCTCTGTGTGTGAGGTCGGGGGTACTGCATGCTTGGTGCTGCTAGAGGAATGAGGGATGGTACTGCGTGCTTGGTGCTGCTGGGGAGTCTGGGTGGGGGGTACTGCGTGCTTGGTTCTGGGAGACCTGGCGCTGGGGGAGAGGAGGAACAGGCCAGCAGAGGGCGGCTCTGTGGTCCTGCGTGCTTGCAAGGAGCCATGCCAAAAGTGTTTCCCCCTGTTCTGGCACTGTGCTGTCTGCCTGAACCAGGAGTATTTGTCGCTTAGTTGTGTGATTAGGTGGTGGGAACTGGAGCAGGCTGAAGGAATGCAAAGGAAACGATCTCAATCTTAAAGAGATGAACTAATGGTTTAGGAAACAATCTACAGGTGTAGATATGCAAACTGTCTTGGAAAATAAGAAAGGCCGACTTTAAGTATGGTCTGGTTACACAGAAGGGGGGGTACCAAGGTCCACCAGGTTTGGGCCATGGTTCCACCTGGCCTCCCTAGCACTGCTGGATGTGGCCCTGGAGGCCCCAGCACTGAAGGGGAACCCCTAAAGTTAGCTATTCAGGACAAGTTCCTATTTCTAGGAAATTATTGTTACTGATAAAACTCAAGGCTTTATTTTAGCCATAGTCTTATTTATGTAAAATTCTTTCATTCCTTAAAAAAACTCAGTGGTCTCGTCCTTTCCTTTCAGACTCAGAGGATGGCCCCAAACAAGGTAAGGTCAGCGAGCGAACAGAAGCCTTCACCACTGCGCGCAACTTGCTGGCCTCAGGAGCGGACGCGATTGAAAGAATCATGTCTTCATACAAAGAGGTGCTCTTGTCTCGGTGCCACACGTAGATAGCAGTCGAGAAAGCCCCCAAGCCTATGATTGCCATGTACACCTTGTGTCTGAAAAACATCTCTTTCCTCCACCCCAGCTTTCTGAGGGCATGACATGAGGGTCTGTTCCACCACTGCCCAGTGGCCAATCAGCAGAGATGCTGTGACGGGTTGACAAGGGCTTTGTTGACAGCAGCAGGCAGGTTGGAAGACAGTGGTCTCGGGTCCTTGAAGCAACCGTCTTGTCGCCCTGGTTAGAAGCGGGGGGCTTTCTAGAGAAAGAACAAGGAGGACAGGGTAGCTACATACCAGTCGGTGCCTGAATGAAAATAAAATTTCCTCTGAGGCACACTTCACCTTATCTCCAGCCCAGAATACTAACGGTCAGGCACTGGGGAGGAGGTTAGGCTGAGGACAAGCTGTTCTTGTCCTTAGGCTTTGGGGCAGGGCAGCTGTCCTTGTCTAATACTGACCTGTGGCCCAGCTTCAGCCCCCTGGTTCCCATCAGCTCTTCTTTATGGCTGTTTCCCTTCGATTCGGGATATCTTGTCCACAGTCAGTTCAAAAGAATCAGGGACTGACTTGTATCTGGCCGTTTCCTGTTGAAAGGGGACTTCGTGGGCAGGAAGGTGTGGGACAGAACAAACTAAGCTGGCAGGAAAATGTCCTACAAGGAATTCTTGTACATTCTCCCTTCAGAGCCCCTTCCATGAAAGGAAACTACACGAGGTGTATTTGGGGGCACGACAGTTACTTCTTCCCAGTCCTGCCTTTGGAATGTCTTGCACTGTTCTGTGACTCGGAAGTTGTTTTATTATGGCTCAAGAGTTAGGACAGCAAGTCCAGTACTTGCCCTGCATGCGGCTGACCCAGGTTCGTTTCCCAGCATCTCATATGACCCCCCAGGTCCCACCAGAAGTAAGTCCCGAGTGCAGATCCAGGAATGCAGATCCAGGAGTTATCCCTCAGCATTACCAGGTGTGGCCTCCTCAAAAAAATCAAACAAACAGAAATAAGAAGTAGTTTTGTCCAATTATTAAATAGAACCAGTCTCTCGGTTCTGAGAAGTCCATGCAAAGAATTGTGACTAGAAAAAAAGTAATTTTTAAAGGAAGGCAACTGGTAACCCACGCTAGACCACCAGGAACATTATATTCTACATCTCAAAGCATATCCAGGTGCCAGGTGTTCTGGTGGGTTTGGGGTCTCGAACACCCTTGGGTCTGCCTAGAAGCAGCACGATCCTGGGGTGAGCCTGCTGTCTCTCGAGAGTTCCCTCCACTTGCAGAGTCTTTAGAAGACTGTCCAAACTGTTCGAGCACTGCAGGTCAACTGGGGGAAAACTGGAAGCACTAGTTCAGAAATTCCCCATCAGAAAATGGGCACTGGTGGAGGGATGGGTATTTGATCGGGGTATGACCGAGATCCAAGCACAAAAATTTGTAAATCTACAACTGTACCTCATGTCGTTTCACTAATAAAAAGGAAAAAAAAAAAAAAAAAAAAGAAAAGAAATTCCCCATCAGATATTAGAAAAATTCAGAATTCCTCCCAATTTATAAAAACTTAAAAGAGGACCAGAATCTGATCTCCATAAGGCATGTCACTGAAACACAGTTTTCCACCTTCACTGCAAGTCTAACTAGTTACAGCAACCGATTTTTCATAAGCACAGTAAGGACAGATCGCGTTAGGCCAGAGAGTGGCAGAGGGAGGCTCATGTGCTCCCCTGCCCCCAGGTGATTATAGAGATGCCTTCAGCCTGCAGCTTTGGGCTGAGCTTAAACGGCCTCCCTGGGGCCAGAGTCCTGCTGCTTCTCTTTCTCAGGCTCTGCCTCCACTGATCAGTATTACCCAGACAAGAGTCCGAAGTTCTTATTAGCATGTTGTAGCAAACTAAAGCAAGGTGACTTCTCTCAGGGAGAGTGTCATATTTTGCGATCGACCGGCCTCAGGACAGTCTGTTTTAGTTTGCTCAACTCCAGAATCCTTTAGATTTTGGATGAGTGGGGAGGAGCATCAGATTTCTCCTGCCTGGTTCAAACTGTGTGCTCCCCCTAACTGGACTCCATAGTCAGGCTCTCCCATGTTGTCACCTGAGTGCCTGACAACTGGCTGCAAATCCCTCTAGGACGGTGTGAGGTTCAGATTTGTGCAAGGCAGGGCCCAAAGTTTTAGGGCAACTGAGAGCTCAAGTTAAGCTAATATGATCAACGTGCGGGATTTTATTTTATTTTCCATTGAGATCCATCTGCAACACTTTTATTTGGGGATTGGTCAATTCTTGAGTTTCCTATTTTGGGATTAATACTCAATTCTTGAGGTTTCTAAAGACCTATGGGGCTACTTTGCTACTTATAGTGGCCTTGCTTTGAACCACTGCTAGCCTGTTTCTATTTATTGACACTGATATTAATTTCTAAGGTAACATTGTCTTTGACATTTCAAAGTCTCAATAAGATAATCAGTTTTTCTTGTTTAGACAAATAAGACATTGCTATGAAATATTAAAAACAAAGAAAAATCACTAAGGGTGTCCAGAGGATAGAAAATCATGTTTCCGTTCTACTTATAGTAATATATTGATAAGATACAATTTCCCAGTTCAGAGAGATAGTTCAAAGGGCTTAGCAAACTTTGTATGTGGGAAGCCCAGACTCAATCCCCGGTCCCTAGGCACCTCCAGGTGTGAACCCTGAGCACAGAGCAGGGAAAAGCTCCCATTCCTGCCAGGTGTGGCTCAAAAATCTAAAAAGAGATGCAGTTTGCCAAGTTCCTGTGAGTCAGAACACGTTCATTCCCATGGTCCATTCGGCCCCATGCAGAAGATCTCAGTCTCCTGCAGCTTGAGGCGTCCAGTTGGCCCATGGCTCTGCAGTTTTATGTCAGTTCTGCAGCAGCTCCATCCTCTGTAGCATCTGTCAGCATTACCCTCACCCCATAGGTTTCTCTGCACAAGGCATCTACAGAACAAGTTGGCAAATAGTGAAAGAATGTAGAATGCTCATAATTCAAGATTCATTTTTGTTTTTGAGCCTCTTCCTGTGAAGATCCTGTTATAACACAAATGGCAAGGAGGTTTGCTCAGTTTTGTGACATACACTGTATAAAATTTTCTAAAACACCAAAATTAGCCAGAGTCTTCGGATTGCCAAACAATTTTCAATGCCCACGTTATTATTACTAACTTTTATGATACGGTTAAACATTTCTTGGGATTTTTTTTTGTTTTTGTTTGTTTGGGGTTTTTTTGTTTCTTTTTTTTTTCTTTTTGGGTCACACCCAGCGATGCTCAGGGGTCACTCCTGGCTCTGCACTCAAGAATTATTCCTGGCGGTGCTTGGGGGACCATATGGGATGCCGGGGATTTAACCCGGGTCTGCTGCTTGCAAGTCAAACGCCCTTCCCGCTGTGCTATGGCTCCGGCCCCTAAATATTTCTTATACAGCAATGCTTCCTGAAAGACTTAACCACACCAAACAGGTTTGATTCATATTTTTCCCCTTTTTTTCTTTAAGGGGAGAAAGGAATTTTCTAAATGACTTTGCTTTTCTAAGTCCTTCATTATTTGTTATAAGTAGCATTTCATTATTAAATCAAGCAAAGAAATTAGTTTCCTTTGAATTTTGGTTTCTGGAGAGTTTTATCTCACAGTATTAAAAAGTTTAAACATCTCTGCAGAATACCTTGAAATAGTACTCATCTACATTTAAGCAAAGTAGCAGAGATACCGAAACCGCAACTAAGCTTAGCTTTCATAAAATCAAGTCAACTTAAATACCTGGTAGTAAAATTGATTTGAAATAAAGTTATTTTAATAACACAAGGCAGACAGTTAAAAAATTTATAGTCTAGGACCGGAGTGACAGGAGAGCAGGTAGGGAGTTTGCCTTGTACGCGGCCAACCCGGGTTCAATCCCCGGCATCTCATATGGTCCCCTGAGCACCGCCAAGAGTAATTCCTGAATGCAGAGCCAGGAGTAACCCCCGTGCATCTCTGGGTGTGGCCCAAAAAGAAAGTGCAAAACTTTCTGGGAATTGGAGCGATAGTATAGCGGGTGAGGTATTTGCCTTGCAAGCAGCCAACCCGGGTTCAATTCCCAGCATCCCATATGGTCCCCGAGCACTGCCAGGAGTAATTCCTGAGTGCAAAGCCAGGAGGAACCCCTGTGCATCACCAGTTGTGGCCACCCCCCAAAAAAGAAACCTAAAAATTTGGGACTGGAGTAATAGCACAGGGGGTAGGGCGTTTGCCTTGCACGTGGCCAACCCGGGTTCGATTCCCAGAATCCCATATGGTCCCTGAGCACTGCCAGGAGTAATTCCTGAGTGCAAAGCCAGGAGTAACCCCTGTGCATCACCAGTTGTGCCCCCTCCCAAAAAAAAACCTAAAAATTTGGGGCTGGAGTAATAGCACAGGGGGTAGGGCATTTGCCTTGCACGCAACCAACCTGGGTTCGATTCCCAGCATCGCATAGGGTCCCCTAAGCACTGCCAGAAGTGATTCCTGAGTGCAAAGCCAGGAGTAACCCCTGCGCATCGCTGGGTGTGACCCCCCCCCAAAAAAAACTAAAAATTTACAGTCTCAAAATTTTCACCATAGTCTAAAGAATACTTTTCTGTTGTTTTAGCAAGGGAAATTTATAATATGGTTTTACTCATATACTAGTGATATTAAAAGTTAAATTTTAGGTAATTATAACAATTCAGCCTGATTATACAAAGTTTCTTTCTTCATTTCCAATCCTCAGCTTTCTTTGCAAACTGTCAATTTTGTTTCAAGACCCAATTCCTCCTTTCTCCTTCAGGGAAATATCTTCCTCCATTAACTTTATTACTGAAACAACATGTATGTTCTTTATAGGTTTAAACCCCTAGTTTTAGTCATTGAACTCCCTTTACAAACTTGGTAAAATTTGAATTTCACAGGAAATTAGGACAGTACTTTAAGATGCACCATTCAAAATTGACCTCTGAACTTGCACTGAGTCTTGGTTTTCATGACTCCAGCTTTCTCGGGGTCGCAGTCTTAATGCAGTCCATTGGGCTCATCATCCTGCTGAAATTCCCCTTTGTTGGACCAGAGAGATACATACAGGGGTTAAGGAACTTGCCCAGCACACAGCTGACTCGAGTTCCCTGCCAGGCACCACGTTTGCTTCCCTGGATCTTGTCAGGAGTGATCTGTGTTCTCAGAATCAGGAGTAAGCTCTGAGCACAGCAAGATGTGGACCCCAAACAAACAAAATAACCCTTTTTTTGCCCTTCTTAAGTAGCTCTAAGAATTTAAATTAGGGACTGGAGAGATAGTACAGCAGGTAAGTCCTTGCCTTGCCACGACAGACCAGGGTTGATCCCCGGCATCCCGTCTAGTCTCCCAAGTACCACCAGGAGTGATTCTTGAGTGCAGAGCCAGGAGTGAGCCCTGAGCATCACCGAGCGTGTCCCTATAACCCCCCCCCCAAGAATTTAATTTACTAGAAAATCTCAGAAGCCAACATTTGTTGAAATTTCTACCACTTGCTATAATTCTTAACCTTTCAAGCAAGTTTACCTGACTTGGAAATAACATTGGTATTTTCACAAATGACTGCATTTCCTCTCCATCCTAGTTAAAAACTTGTAAGACCTACTCACTGTAAAACTTGTAATGCCTTATTCGCTGAGGTCGCTGAGGCCCCAGGTACACAGTTTTTAGTGCCCAGGAAACTACAAAGTTATTCATGTTTAGGTTTCAGGCATACATTGTTTCAACACCAAACCCTTCACAGTGTCCACTTCCCTTCTTCAACCCCTCCTCCGTTCCCCCACCCACCCATCTGCTTCTAGAGAGGTGCTTTATAAATACACACAGAACATGTTTGCGCTGTGGCTTCCAGTACTGTTGCTGTCCCCTCCTCCTCCCAGCTGAGCTTCCCTCCGCCACCATCCTCCCTGTGCCACCTGACAGCTCCTCAGGGGGCATGTGTTTCTACCGAATTCCAGCTTTCGTGTTCTTGGTTTCCGTTGTCTTTGGGCATGTTATTCCACCATTATGAGACCTACACAGAATAATCACACTCACATGCAGGATATCACGGTCCAGTTTCACACTTACTCAGGGTTTTGGAGCTCGGTCCCTGTGGCCACAGAGACCTTCATGTTGTTCTGGTGTCACTAAGAGACTGTGATCTCTATGACGGGGACCCAGCTTGGTCCCTGGCACTGCATGTGGCTCCTGGAGCGCCATCATCAGAGGACAGCCAGCTGAGCTTCACCTCCAGATATTTTAGATTGAAAGCACTCAAGTTTTTTTAACCCAATAACCAATCTAGAAACCTTCTACTTTAATTGTGATACAGAAAATGTCACTGTCACTCTCCCTGTCCTCCCATTGTTATCAGTTTGCTCGAGCGGGCCCAGTAACGTCTCCATCGTGAGACTTGTTGTTACTGTGTTTGGCATATCGAATACATCACGGGTAGCTTGCCAGGCTTTGGCGTGCAGGTGAGGTTCTCTCAGTAGCTTGCCGAGCTCTCCGAGAGGGGCGGAGGAATCGAACTCGGGTGGGCCATGTTGACTGCGTGCAAGGCAAACGCCCTATCCGCTGTGCTATCTCTCCAGCCCATCCAGAAAATGAATAAACTTTTTTGTTTGTTTATCCAAAGGATCCAAGGTTCACCCACATATGAGAGAGAACAAAAGCATTTTTACAGTTTGGGGGAAGCCTTAGATCTCTTGGAGCCTGGAGCAGCTACCAGATCATCAGTATTTGCCCCTTTGAGCTTTCTTTCTAATTAACCAAAGAAACAGCCTGGATTCCAACACAAAGAGCAAAAAGATCAAATATTTAAACAAAAAAAAGCTTCTCCAAACCCTCCGATTCACTGACAACCCTCTACAGTACAGAACACATAAAACAAAGAACACATGCACCTAAATAAAGCTCCCAGCTGATCCTGGGCGAGCGAGAACTGAGACTTTTCCCAGCAGAGCTAGTCTTCACACGGCTCTGGGCACCAGCAGGGGTCCAGCCTAACCTCTTGTTACCTAGTTCAACCACATACACCTCCGAACTCCACGGTTTCTGCTGGGCTAACCTGACTTCAGTCTTTTTGAGTTCTTTAAATCAGAACTTCCCCTTCTCCATGTTCATTTTATTCTGGGAAATAACAGGTGTAAGTGGCCACACATGGACACCGGTGAATTGGTTCACAGCCCTGGGTAAAAGTCCATAGCTAATCCCACTCCTAGAAAGCACCGGAATAACTATCCCTAGTCCACAGGGAAAGGGTCCCAGAGGGGAAGGGAGGCTCGTGGGATACACCCCCAGAGTGCTCCCTAGCTGCACACACAGTGGACTGCGGACTCCCTTAGCTCTCAGCCCTCTGAGCTCTCCAGAGTGCCTGAGGGTCGGCAGCTCAGGCGGAGCAGCATGGAGTAGAGAGAGGCCAGTTACTGAGGGGCTTGTCTCATTCCCAGGTCGAGGTTGGCTTGCCGCTGCAGAGTCCAGACTCGGCCCGGTTGTCACCCAAAGAGCCCATTCAGCTCTGCTTTGCAGTCAAGCCCAGGACACACACTTGGAGAGAACCTGCAGTCTGGTCCTGAGGACAAGCCCATCCACAGCCCCTGCCCCATCCTGCCTGCTCTCCACCCCCTGGCCTGCTAGCCCGTAGAAGGTTAAGGTCTTTCGTGGACATGTTAACTCTTTTCTCTCTGTGTTGGTTTTAGATCACGGAACTAGCAGGCTACACTGCCCGAGTGTACAATATGTTTTGGGTCTTTGATGAGGTAAAAAGAGGCATTTATAAGAGAACTCTCACACAAGAATCCAAAAACCAGAACAAGAATGGCGCTAACACAGAACTTCTCAGTGATGCTCTAGCAATCAAAGGTATAAACTCAGATGCTTTTTCATCTTTTCTCTACTTGCTGTGTTTTCTCAGGAGAACCAAAGATTTCTTTTTAAGATAGTCTTTAACAGTTACAAGGAAGCAGCATTTAGTTAAATAGTTATTCCTAAAGTTAGTGCTGCAGTTGGAAGGGTAGTAAATACTCCAGGGAGAGAAAAACGCTGTGTTACTTTTGCTTAGGACAAAATTTCTAGAATTATTTCTATAAATTGCACAGATGGCAGAATTTGCTTTTACGTTTTAAGTAACAGAATTAGAACTAACATACTGTTCTTCATCATCCTATGTTTTTAAGCTTTAATTTGTTCAGAATTTAAAATTGCATTGTCCAGTGACTTATCTACCTTTTGCAGTACTGATTTTTCTGCAGAAAGTTTAAGGAAATAAGTAGCTGTAAATAGTAAGACTAGGTCACTGCACTTTACTCTTCTGATACTGGCACTATTGCAATGCTTCAGGTAAAGAGTTTTCACGTAGATGTGTCAGCATGTTCAAATTTGAAATATACTTTGTCTTAAATATAGAAAACAATATTGGTATTTGTTTCTATGACTTGACTATGAATTTTCTTCAGAATGCGTTTATGTGTTACTCTGCACAGCGCCTTCAGTTAATTAGCAGTGTTGAGATAGCTTTTTAAAAGTTATTCCTTAACTTACAGGAAAAGTCATTGATGTGGATCACGGGATTATTTGTGAGAATGTCCCCATCATCACACCGACAGGCGAGATTGTGGCTTCCAGGCTGAACTTCAAGGTGAGTGGAGGATCAGGGGTTTCTGCCTGTTTGTGGCCATCACTGAGCACAGATTGTCTGAGCCCTTACATTGTTGAACACTGGAGCAGGGGCTCACAGACCCTCAGGGTCCCTGTTCCTTCTGTAGGATGCCAGGGCACAGGCGGGATGAGAGGAGGGAGCACGAGAAAAGTCTGCGTAGAAGCAGATTCTTCTCAGAAGGCACCAAGAAACGGTATTCTGCTTTGTTGCCTCGTTGAAAATCACACTGTGTAAAAACCTGCACAGAGTACCTGTGGGGAGCAATAGGACATTTCCTATTTCATATCCAAACATTTTAGGTCTTTTCATCATAGGAATGGCTTTTTAAAAACTTACATTGTAATATATCCACTGAGAAACAAGATTTTTATTAACACATTTCCTTTTGTTAATATTCATTCTCTAACTTTGCATTTTTGATTCTCATATACTTTGGGGGGGGGGGCAATAGCACAGCAGTAGGGCATTTGCCTTGCAAGCCGCCGGCCCGGCTGAGCCGGGTTCGATTCTTCCGCCCCTCTCGGAGAGCCCGGCTAGCTACCAAGAGTATCTCACCCGCACAGCAAAGCCTGGCAAGCTACCCATGACGTATTCTATATGCCAAACACAGTAACAACAAGTCTCACAATGGAGGTGTTACTGGGCCTGCGCGAGCAAATCGATGAACAACGGGAGGACAGTGCTCCAGTGCTGCATACTTTCAGGAAAGCATTATTATAAGATCAGAATCAAATTTGTAATTCTGTTGAGAATGAGTCACTTTAATTCTGTCTTGATTATCAAGAAAACACGACATAAAAACATCTGAGGCCATGATGTAAGCGTTATAAAACTCAAACTACATTTTGGAATTCAAAAAACTAATTGTTTCTGCTAATCCTAAAAGACTATAATGAAGGTTTGAGAGCTTTGCTCAGAGTAAGACATGATTGCGCTTGTTAACGATCTTGCTTGGGTTCATGGTTTTAGCATGAACCGTAGTCTAAGTCTCATTATTAAAGATGCATTTACATGTGAATAAGGTTTGGGCAAGAATGAAAAGCACAGAACAGGGAATTCTGTGTTACTTGCTGCTAGAGAAAGTGTTCCACTCCAGTTTGTTCAGGCTTTGTTTTCCTCTCCATAGACCCAGAGAGTGGCTAACCCACCCAATCTGCCCAATGTTAATAACATACCACAGTTTTAAGCAAACTTGATACAAGACATTTCAAGAGACAATCCTGAAATGTTTCATTTCTTTAATTCTTTATAAGTATAACAAGCAAATTTGAAACAGAACATTTGAAGAGGTCATCCCAAATTTTCATTGTTTATTTCTAATCTCAAATGTAATTATTTATAATTTATGTGGAGTTGTTGGCCAGTTTAGGCTTTATAACATCAATTCTTATTGCCCTATTTATTAGACAATTTATGACTCTGGAATTATCCTACCTACTCACTAAAATATTAGAGGCATACCACACTGTTTCTGTGAACCAACTCACTGGTAGCTCAGTTTATTTTTATAAAAGGATTGTTGGAGTACAAGAAGCTTTGGTTTATCTGGTTACACCCATCAATCTGGTTACACCCATCACAGTGCTCCTGAAGCACTTCCACTTCCATTGTGTTTATCTGTAAACAGTCTTCCCTATGCTCTCCTTCCCACCCAGTTAATCAGCTTTCCCCTTAATCAGACTTTGTTAATTTGTAAGATCAGTTTCCCAGAAATCTATGATTTTATATGTATGAGTGAAATATTGCCTTTCTCCTCTCCTTATGCCTTATGAACAGTTTACTTTAAAGTAATATCCTTTTTGTATAGATACAGGAAGACCGTTAACATTATGCTTTGTAACTTAGGATTTGATTGGCCTTGAATATTATTCACTCCCGGGCATCTGCTTTCTCGACTTAAGCCTCAGTTGCCCTTAGTCCCTAACACCCCAAAAGCAGGGTCCCGACGAGGGACTGAATGGACCCAGGGCAAGCGGTGAGCTACCCTGGCAGCGAAATGGGCCAGGCCAAAGTGCCACGATTCTTAACTATAAGTTAAGAGTTTGATCATAGACAAATGCTGTCATGATCCAAAGGTAATGACAAGACTAGGATCCTGCTAGGGTGGGAAAGACTATCTGGCCTGAGCACCGTAGTCTGAGATCGAGATGGCCCTAGGAGAGCAATTCTATAAGTTTAAGATATTTCTTACTGTATCCATACAAAATGATTTATATTATATTCTTACATGTTTGTCGGACAAGGAGAGGAGAGGCACGCCCATGGAATTCTGCTCTAGGGTGGGTCCTCCTACTGAGGAAGGATCTGTCCTAGGAGCGGTCTTCCCTGAGGCTAAGATTTCTACCCCTATTGATTGTGACCACACCTATGTGTAATTGTTCCCCAATTCCTCATGGAGAGAGGATTTAACTGTACTGTAGGACTGGGCTAGGGGGCAGAAGGAAGAAGCAAGGTTCAGAGAGGATCAGAAGGAAGAGGAGGATGAAGGGGGATGGAGAAGGAGAATGAAGTAGCTGGGGGAGGAAGAATGGGGAGCAGAGAGACAGAAGGAGAAGGGAGCAGAGACAGATGAAGAGAGAATCAGAATAAACTACGACTAATACCTACCAGCCTGGCCCTCATTCCTTCCTCCGCCTGACCATCGCCATCGACCTCTCCGGGGTGGGAGAAGGGTGAGACTACCGAACGCGGGCAGCAGGAGAGATAGAGCCACCGCCGCTGTGTGGGGTGCCGTGCCCCCTCTTTGTGTGAGTTTACACAGGAATCTCATTATTTTTTAAATTTATCTTTTTATTTCCTGTGCCATAGTTGACATAGTTATTCCAGCTTGGAAGTCACTTTACAGTTGTGTCACTGCTGCTTCAGGACACCCCACCCCCCGTGCATAGGGTTCCTTCCACCACAGTTCTTTCCCCCACTCCCTGCCATGAATTTTAAAATAATCCAACAAAAGTACCAAATAAATTGGAGTTCTACAAAGGCACGTTCATATAACATAATTCTAAGCATATTTATAGAGGGAAATGTTCTCAAAATTCTTTGCTTGGACTTTCAGAATTTTAAAAATCATTTGGAGGAGAAAATGAATAAAATTAGTAATTCTTTTTTATTTCTCCTCAGTGCTTACTAAGCATCAGAAAACTTATGCTGGAAAAATTATATGACTGTGGTAAAATCTCCTATCACAGAACTCAGAATCAATGCTAAATTTCTGAGAAATTCTAATAGAGAAAAATTCTACTAAGATATTTTGATCACTTCACTTATCACTTAACTTCCCGTTAGTCGTCGATTTGCTCGAGCGGGCGCCAGTAACGTCTCCATTTGTCCCTGTCGCGTGCTAGTGTAGCCCAATGGCATCTCTTCGCTCCGGGAACATGGAGGGCCTCAAACCGATCGTTCATGACCTTGACAAAGAAGTCTGACCATCTGGTAGGTGGGCGGCCACGCGGTCTCTTGACATCCCGTGGAATCCAATCAGTAACAGCTCTAGTCCAACGGTCGTCTTTAAATCTCATTACGTGACCAGCCCATCTGATTTTCGACACCTTGGCAAATGAGACAGCGTCCCTGATCCTTGATCGTCGACGGATGTCAGAACTCCGGATTCGTTCTCTCATTTGAGTGAAACGTGATATTCCAAGCATAGCTCTTTCTATTCTTCTTTGGGAGACCTGAATGGCGTTCTCATCTTGTTTGCGTAGGGCCCAGGTCTCTGAGGCATATGTTAATGCAGGAAGAACAGTGGAATCAAAGAGATGTGCCCGGAGCCGGAGGTTCTTCGTCCTCTTAGCTATTTCTTCAACGTTCTTGAAGGCGTTCCAAGCCGCTCTCTTCCTCCTGCGCAGCTCGGGTGCCAGGTCATTTGTCATGTTGACCTCTCGACCTAGGTACACATAGCTGTTGCATTCGGAGATGGTCGTTCCATTGAGAGCGAATGGGGCGTCAGGAACAAGGCTATTTCTCATAAACATTGTCTTCGTAAGATTCAGCTGTAGTCCTACCTTTCCACACTCACGGTCAAAGTCGGCCAGCATTTGTGCTGCTTGGCTGATGTTTGGTGTTATTAAAACAATGTCATCAGCAAAGCGGAGGTGGTGTAGTTGCCGACCATCTATCTTCACTCCCATTCCTTCCCATTCCAGTCGTCGCATGATGTTCTCGAGGGTGGCACTGAAGAGTTTTGGTGAAATGGTATCACCCTGCCGCACCCCTCTCTTGACATCAACGATCACTTCTTTGTAGAATGGTGAGATCCTGGTAGTGAATCCGCAATACAGCTCACGGAGGATCCTGATGTATTGGGCTTGAATGCCCTGATTGGCTAGGGCTTCAATGACCGCCTCCGTCTCAACAGAATCAAAGGCCTTCTTTAAATCAATGAACGTTAAGCAGAGCGGCATCTTGAACTCCCGAGAAACCTCAATGAGTTTGGTTATCGTGTGGATATGGTCGATGGTGCTGAATCCTTTGCGGAACCCTGCTTGCTCACATGGTTGTCCTTCATCTAGTGTTCTGCCAATCCTATTCAGGATGACTCGAGTGAACAACTTGTAGATGACAGACAATAGGGAGATTGGGCGATAGTTGCCAATGTCATGGATGTCTCCCTTCTTGACACATCATAAAACACTAAATACCCGTCTTCTGGAATTGTCGTACCATATTTGATAGGGTTCAAATATGGTAACACCTACAAGGGTGATTAGAGGTCACCCCAAAAGCCTCTATACCTCTCGGAAAGACTGGCAAGCTACCGAGAGTATTCCGCCCGCACGGAAGAGCCTGGCAAGCTATCCGCTGTGTATTCGATATGCCAAAACCAGTAACTACAACTGGTCTCATTCACCTGACCCTGAAGGCTTCACCGACATGGCAGCACTGAGAAGGATGAGAAAGGAGAGGCCGACAAAATCTCAAGGCCGACCTAGGCTGCCACAACGAAGGAAGACAAAAATGATCGTCTGTACTTTCAATGCACGTACGCTAGCATCAGATGCATCCATCGAGGACCTGATGGTACAAGCGCGAATGATCAAGTACGACATCATTGGTCTGACCGAGACAAGAAGACACGAATCTCACCATGCCGTTTTCGATACTGGAGAAGAATTGTTCCTCGGAACATGCGATAAAAGAGGTGTTGGAGGCGTCGGTGTCCTTGTCAACACAAACTTGGCCAAGAGCATTGATTCATTCGAATGCCTAACAACCCGAATCGGACGTTTACATTTGAATAGATGTGGCTCACTGCCTGCAGTTTCTATCTTCGTTGTCTACGCACCAACATCTCATTATGATGAAAGAGAAATCGAGAAGTTCTACATGGAGCTAGAGAAGTTCTATAAAGAAGACCACACCTTCTACAAGATCATTGTGGGTGATTTTAATGCCAAGATAGGACCGAGAAGATCAGCTGAAGAACTTCACATCGGAACCCATGGCCTAGAATGGAACGAACAGGGTGAGAGACTGTCTGAGTTCATCATGTCGACCAAGACCATTCATGGTAACTCACAGTTCCAGAAGGCAGAATCTAAACGATGGACATGGGAGTCTCCCGGTGTACGATTCCACAACGAAATAGACCACATTATATTCAATCGACGGTTTTGCCTGACTGATGTCGCTGTTGTCCCAAAATTTCGAACGGGATCGGACCACCGTCTCCTTCGTGCAAAATTCTACTTCACAGAGCGGGGAGAAAGGGCTGCAAAGTTCAAAAAGAGAACTCCCAGAACGACCACCAACTGGGAACTCTTTGGTACTATTGCGGCAACATGGGAAGATGCCATTGTTGACAACATTGACGAGGAATACGATCGACTGGTTCAGCACCTCCATGAATGTGCGAGGAACGCCAAGAGAGAGATAGCCACAAAAAGTCGCCTATCTTCGAAAACTCTTGAGCTAATTCGCCAGCGTGGTTTGGCGCATGCCTCAGGCAACCGCAAGCTAACGTCCGAGCTTGCAAAGCAGTGCAGAGATGCGATCAAGGAAGACCTCAAAGAGAGAAGAGCAGAAGTACTGGTAGATGCGGCAGAAGCCGGGAAAAGTATTCGTAACGCCCGCCTGTCCTTCGCCAACTATAAGACCAAGATGACTGCCCTCCGACGTCCTGATGGATCCATCACATCCTCCAGAACGGCAATGGAGAAGATTATCCATGACTTCTACTCAAATCTCTTCGATAGCCATGTCCACTTGCCGACATACCAAATTCCACAGGATGGGTATGTCGTTCCCAACGTTCTCCCTTCCGAAATCCGACACGCCATTTCGTCAGTAAAGAAGCAAACAGCACCCGGCCCAGACAAGGTCAGACCTGAACACCTGAAGAACCTGCCGTCAGTACTCATCAATACACTGGCTCGGCTCTTCACTCGCTACCTGTCTGAATGCAAGGTTCCATCTCAATGGAAAACCAGCAAGATATTTTGATAGCCTTGTGTTATCGCATATACTTGTTTAAAAAAATTTGGGGTAGTATTATTTATCTACAGAATTAAACTTCTCTAATCCTCTTCTGGTGAAAGAACATAACAAATTATGAAATTCTTTCTACAGTATCCAGAGTTTTCTTTGATCTTTGTTTTGTACTAGCAGGTAGGCAACATTTATGTAAATAGCAAACAGAATTCAAGTGGACAACTAGCTTTTTTGAGTAGTAAACATAATGTACAACATTTATTAGTTGTCAGGACATATATGCTAATGTATGAAGACACCGCAAGCATATGTCGTGTCATAAATTACTGTCATTCCAATAAAATTCAAATAAATATAATGATCCAATTAAACTGAATCGAGGGCCGTATCGCTGAAAACCCAGTAGTGTTTGCGTCTGGCCATGCTTGAATGACGGGACCTGCTGGACTCCAGCTTCCTCCTGCTCCTCCCACCACTGCCCAGAGCTTCTTCCCCACGTCCCACCTGCTGCTGCTTATCTAACCCAGCTCAGCCAGAGTGCCACGTCCCAGGGAGGGCTTTCCCAACAAGCGTCGGAGCCACCCTCGCCCGTCACCTGCCTCGATTGTCACCTGCCTGTGTCCTTGTGTTCCAGGCTCCTGCCCCTGGGGGGCTGTGGGGCAGGACTCTGGTTGGCTGCCACTCTGTCCTGCCGCCAGAAATGGTGCGTTCTGGAAGCATCAGCCTAGAAGTGCCTCAGTTGAGACAGAATGTAGGTCTGGAACATCTGTGCTCCAAAGACACTTGCTAGGTTGATGTCTGCTTCCTTTTCCTTCCTTTCAGGCTCACCCAGTGGTTCTCAGGAGATATTCCTGGCTCCTGGCTCAGGGGTTGTCCTTGGTGGTGCTTGGGGTCCGGGGCAGTGCTGGGGATTGAACCTGGGGCTCCTACAGACAGACACATGCTCCAGCCTTTCATTTCCTCTCTCAGCCCCCCAGTTCCTTTTCTGACCTTCATTCCAACCCTTCTTTTTGTCTTTCCTTTCTTTCCTCCTCCCTCTTGTCTTCTTCCCACCTTCTTTCTCTCAGCAGAAAGGTCTCAGCTCGTGTCATATATGGCAGATGGCAAGGGAGACGCTGATACAGCGAGAGGGTCTGGGGCTTCTCACCTTTGGGCTTTCAGCATCACTAGTTCGGAGTATACAAAGTTACACCTGCCTGTCCTTGATTGCAGCCCCTCATGCCTTCCAGTCGTACCTGTTTTTGATCCCTTCCCATAAATACTGTTTGATCTTAGCAGAAAGCCTTTTGGGGTGAGGAATGGTACAACCAGCAGTGCCTGTGGTGGCTCCCCCTGCTCTGTGCTCAGGGTTACCCCACCAGACGGTGCTCAGGGGACCGTGTGGTGTTTGGGATCTGTCCCAGGCTCCTGCATGCTTGATGTGCCCATAGGCAGCATCTTAAAGATTGCTTTTTCCTTGTCCATCATGAGAAAGACGTGCTGAGTCCATACTAAGATGACTTTCCAGTTCTACTGTCAGTGCCTAAAGTGTAACTATTTAAATGTTCCAGTTCTACTGTCAGACCTAAAGTGTAACTATTTAAATGTAAATTATAAAATTAGTTAAGTGTGCATTACAGATAAGATAGAGGTTTTAAATGCAAACAGTCAATAGGTGCCACAAATGGCTTGTTTTATTGGTTATATGTACTTATATTTTAAAAATTCATCTCTAGGCATCTCCTTGTTTTCCTAACACTTTGATAAACAAAACTTGACCTATCTGTGACTACAGTACAGTTGGAATCAGTTTATCCCTGTGATTGTGGGCTTTCATGATTTCTGTGACATTCCAGACTACTGAAATGTAAAATGATATGACCCAGCTGGCTCTTGGATAACTTTGCTTTGTAGCCAGAGACTCTGAGAAACAAACCAAGCTGTATTCAGATTTAGTGTAAGTGTCAATGTCAGTGTCAATCAAATATTAATATGAATAAAATCGAATAGATTTTAAATACAGCTCTTTATTTCACACATGACTGTTTCTTCCTCTGATTAACAGACCTCAGTTAAAATTCTGAAAAGCAATTGCCAATTTCTAAAAGACCCTCTTGCGGGTCAGGAGTGATGGTACAGCAGGGAGGGTATTTATCTTGTACACAGCAGACCCAGGTTTGATCCCATATGGTCCCCTGAGCTCACTAGGAGCGATCCCCAAGTTCAAAACCAGGAGTAAGCCCTGAGCACTGCAGGGTGTGCCGCCGTCCCAAAGGAAGATCCTCTTACTTTGGAACTAGACTATTGTATGATGTTTCTGCCTTAGAGCTAAAATCCAGAAACCAGATTTAATGGTCTCAAGCCTATTGTATTTTTGCTTGATGCACTGCCCACCATAGGTTACTATGCTTTTGAAAATTTTTTTTTTTTGAAAAATTCCCCACTCTATTTATTTATTTATTTGCTTTTTGGGTCACACCCGGCAATGCTCAGGGATTACTCCTGGCTCTGCACTCAGGAATTACCCCTGGCAGTGTTCGGGGGGACCATATGGGATGCTGGGAATCGAACCCGGGTTGGCCACATGCAAGGCAAACGCCCTACCCACTGTGCTATCGCTCCAGCGCCCGAAAATTTTTAATATATACATCATAACATTTAAAACACTTTCCTCGGGCTGGAGAGATAGTACAGTGGGTAAGGCATTGCTTTTATGTGGCTGACCCGGGTTCAATCCCAGCATCCCAATCCCATCTACATTTCTGAGCACAGAGCCAGGGAACCCCTGAGCATTGTCAGGTGTGCTCCAGAAACCAAAAAAGAATTTTGTAATTAAAAAAAAAAAAACAATAAAACGCCTTCCCAAGAAATCACATTGTGGTATGTAACCTATTTCTTACCGCATATAGGTAGAAGAAGGGATGCACCTTTTGATAACTGGACCAAATGGCTGTGGGAAGAGCTCTCTCTTCCGAATTTTGAGTGGACTCTGGCCGGTATATGAAGGAGTCCTCTACAAACCACCTCCTCAGCACATGTTCTATATTCCTCAAAGGTAGGCAATTTTCTCATGTCACAGAATGTCATAACTTAGTAGTAGTAGGTGGGTGGGGAATGCAGTTATCTTGAGAGTTTTTACTACTGCTTTGATTATAATTGGCTGAACAGAGGCCCACTTCTGCTCTCGTTCACATCTGTCTCCATGGAATGAATTCTCCAGAACTGCAGATGGTGTGCTCAGGGACTTGCTCTAGCCCAGAGAACAATTAGAAAGCAGATGATCTCTTCTATAGGAAAAACAATTCTATTCTTGGATTTCATCCTATTCTCTCCACCAAGATGTATGGAATCATATGTTCTAAAATTGTTCCCTGTGTTATCAGAGTTATTGTATAATAGTCTTTATTATCAAATTTTGGTTATAGTTATGCAGATGGAATCTGAAAGATATATACATGTTTATTTGTTAATACCTACAGTGGTAGAAAGAACATACCTGAAGCACTGTCTATAAAAAGCACTATCTTCCCGTTGTTCATCAATTTGCTTGAGCGGACACCAGTAACATCTCACAACAAATTGTGAGACTTGTTACTGGTTTTGGCATATCGAATATGTCACGGGTAGCTTGCCAGCCTTTGGTGTGCGGGCGAGATACTCTTGGTAGCTCGCCGGGCTCTCCAAGAGAGGCGGAGGAATCGAACTCTGGTTGGCCATGTTGGCTGCGTGCAAGGCAAATGCCCTACCCACTGTGCTGTCGCTCCAGCCCTAAAGCAGAGGAAGTGAAAACAGTTTGGGTTTTTAGGAACAAAATGTTGGACAACAGATACCTCACAGACAGTTGCGTTTATCACAAAATAGGTAGCATATTGTGACACCTGAGTAATTGTTTCTATCTCAAAATCCATTGGGAAACATGTATCTGAATCTGAATCACACTGTCAGCATATAATTTTCAGATATCGATGCAAAAGTAGATTAATTTTAACTTAAGTCATTTTTGATATAAAGTCAGAATTGATTTAAGTCATCACTGTGATCCCATTGTTCATCGATTTCCTCGAGCGGGCACCAGTAATGTCTCCATTCGTCCAGCCCTGAGATTTTAGCAGCCTCTCCTTACTCGTCTTTCCCAACGCTGCCATATTAGAGGCTCTTTCAGGGTCAGCGGAATGAGACCCATTATTGTTACTGTTTTTGGCATATCGGATACGCCATGGGGAGCTTGCCAGGCTCTGCCTATGCAGGAGGGATACTCTCGGTAGCTTGCTGTGCTCTCCGAGAGTCCCTCTATGATTTGTTGGCTACTGTCTGAACCTCATCAAATATGGTGTGGGTAATTATGGAAAATAGATAGGGAGTGTCTTAAGATGTGTCCAGTAATATGTTCACTCACACGTGAGGCTCAGCCTGAGTGTGTGGAAAGAGGCCTGGAGCGGGGCAGTGATTGGGTAGTGGAGGTCAGCACCAGGGCTGGGTCCCTTGGGACGGGGAGGGCTCTCACCCGCCCCCCTCTGGGACTCCCTGAGTGAAAACAGCCTGGCGCAGAAAACAGCCTGGTGGCATGGTTATGGGGGCCTCATTTTATGCTCCCTTTAAGTCATAGGACCTAAAATCAGGAGGGGAAAGTCTGTTCTAGAATTCTAATCTCATCTCTAAATGCAAATGAAAGTACATGCATAAATATAATTTTGTACGTGATTTTAGCTAGCTCAGATTTCTTGTAGTTCGTAAACGTAACTGCTCAGGATCGAACAGCCAGCCATTTCCAGAGTATAGAAAGAACACGACGCAGCAGAATCATCTCTCAGGCAAGGAGAAAGATTCTGCCAGACACAAAAACAGGAGGAATTCATCCCCACTAGTCCCATACCCCTGGGTGAGGGTTAGCGGTCAGCACCTGCCTCAGACTGCACCCCTAACTCTGCCCGACATCGTCACATGTGCTCTCTGCCTGTCTGTCCCTGGCACCATCACGTGTGTGAGCACTGCAGCCTGTTGGGCAATAACTCCACCCACCCCAGTAAGATCAGCAACAGAAAGGGGAAATAAGTGAAAGTTCGATTTCTTCAAATTGAATCAAAAGTATACTGGTTGATAATATGAAACATGAAAACGTATGACATACTCACAAAGGCAAAAATATAGGCAAGATCATAATATCCTAACACTGTAATACAGTATTGTAGTAATCATTTAGTTATCAGTATAAGGTTAAAGAAAATGTATTTAAAATAATGCTTAGTGGCCTGGTATATAGCACTGTAGCACTGTCCTCCTGGTGTTCATCAATTTGCTTGAGCAGGCCTAGTAACGTCTTTATCATGAGACTTGTTGTTACTGTGTTTGGCATATTGAATACGTCACGGAGATCTTGCCAGGCTCTGCCATGCGGGCGAGATACGCTCGGTAGCTTGCCGGACTCTCCGAGAGGGGCGGAGGAATCGAATCTGGGTCGACCATATTGGCTGCGTGCAAGGCAAACACCCTACCTGCTGAGCGATAGCATAGCGGTAGGGTGTTTGCCTTGCGTGCAGCCGGCTCGGCCGACCCAGGTTCGATTCCTCCGCCCCTCTCAGAGAGCCCGGCAAGCTACCGAGAGTATCTCGCCCACACGCCAAAGCTTGGCAAGCTACCCGTGATGTATTCGATACGCCAAACACAGTAACAACAAGTCTCATGCAATAGCTTGCATAACTTTAATAAGTTAACAAGTACACAGTACAAAAAGAGATGAATTGTAGCATAGACACAAAACAAGAGCATAAGGGTAAGAGTTTTCATAGACAAAGCTCAGTTTATTAGCATAACAAAGACTGTCATATCTATGATGCTTGTACGTAAGTTTCATGGGACCCACAAAACAAAGACCCACAGTAGATTCACAGTAGATTAAAGAAAGGGATCACAGGAAACCACCAGTTCACAAAGCACATTGGGGGCTCCTTCAGGGTCAGGGGAATGAGGAACATCGTTGTCACTGTTTTCAGCATATCGAGTACGCCACGGGCGGCTTGCCTGGCTCTCCCATGCAGGCAGGATACTCTGAGTAGCTTTCCGGGCTCTCTGAGAGGGATGGAGGCACAAAAAGTAAAAAGATAAATCTTGGAAAAAATGAAAACGGAAACACAATATACCAATACCTGTTGCAACAGATCTGAGTTTGTAACAATAAACACCTATATCAGGAGAGAAGAAAGCATCTCAGATAAACTTGACACTCAAGGAACTGGAAAAAGAAGAGCAGGGAAGCCCAAAGAGATGAGAAGGAAGGAAATCGTAAAGAATAAAGGAGAAAAGGGATATGGAGACCGAAGACCAGCACAATTAAGAGCTGGTTATTTGTAAAGGTGAACAGTGTTGATAAGACGTTAGCTAGACTAAGGGGGGGAGGAGATTAACTTCTGCAAGTATGAGAGTTTGTCTCTGGGTTCTCTCTTCTCTTCCATTGGTTCTAGATGTATCTGTAGTGTAGTGCCATACAGTTTTTATTACTATAGCTTTATCGTATAATTTAAGGTAAAAATACAATACCTCCCATCTATCTATTTATTTGGGGGCTTCACCTGCCAGGGGCTATTCCTGCTCTGTGCTCAGGAGTGACCCTTGGTACTCAGGAGACTATGGTGCTAGGGATCGAACTTGGGTCAGCTACATGCAGGTAAGCACCTTCTCCCATACGATCTCTGCAGCCCCAATACTTCCCATCTTTTTTCTCAAATGTGCTTTGTATATTCTTGGAGTTTTATGATTCAGTATAAATTTGAGTACAGTTTGTTCTGAGTCTTTTAGGAATATCACTGAAATTATGTTGGGAATTGCACTGAATCTGTCTCATGCTTGAGTCAGATGGTCGTGTTGGCGACATTGATTCTTCCTGTCCCTACACAGAGACAACTTCTGCATTTCCCAGAAATGGAAATAGTGGGAAATGCTTTTCAATAGTGAATTAGAGTTTTCAGTATATTAAAGTCTTTCACACCTTTTGTTAACTTGATTTCTGGGTATTTGGTGTTTTGGGACACTTTTATTGTATTTTTTGGACACAATTTACTTTTTTTTGGACACTATTTTAAATAAAATAGTCCTTCTATTTCTTCTAGATCATGATTTGGTATATGTAACCAATGTAATGATTTTCAGTCACAAGAAATAAAAAATCCTGGCACCTGTCACCACAGGCACAGAATAGGAGGGCATTATGCTGAGTGAGATAAACCAGAGAAAGACAGGACTGTTTGCTTTTACAGAGTAGTTCCAGCAACTGCTCATTTATCTAATGTCAGTTCAGTAAAACACTTTTTTTTTTTTGCTTTTTGCATCACACCCAGTGATGCTCGGGGTTACTCCTGGCTCTGCACTCAGAAATTACTCCTGACAGTTCTCAGGGGGCCATGCCGGGGATTGAACCCGGGTCAGGGCCACGTGCAAGGCAAATGCCCTACCCACTCTACTATCACTCCAGCCCTAAAACACTTTTAAAGGGGGGAAAGAGCCCAACCCACACTGAACAAATCAGTGTTACTTAGGACCTGCTTCCATTCTACATTATTTTGCTTAAAGTTGAAGTTTCTAAGAACCTATCAATGATGTTCAGTGAGGACTTGCTAGATATGGAATCCTTACGAGCCAAACAAAAGAGAGTGATGATGTTTTCCAGGGACTGTGTGCAGGAGAGATGGGAGACATGGTCAGAGTACAGACTTGCAGCCAGGAGGGGAGGGAGAGGGTGCCTGAAGTCCATGTGGTATTCTAGGTAGCAGTAGGGGCTGCGCCCTTCACTTCTGTGAGGTGATGGTGAGCTGAGCTGATGCCAGAGGTCATCATTTGGCCTAAGATCAGTGGATAGGTCAATACCCTGTGTACCGTAAACTCTCTCTTAGCTTTAGCAGTATAGTTGGGAAAAGAAAATACCGTTGGCACTGCAGTGAGTGCCTTAGAGGGTAATATTTGTTACGTGGTTTCACCATATTTTTTTTAAACTGGGGGAAAGACAAAACATGCTTGTCCTCAAAAAGGCCTGTGATTTTGAAACAAACATAAGTCAGTAGGAAA